TAAGCCTGGCGCAACGCCGCCGCGTTCTTCACTAGTTGTTGGTATAGGCAAGCGACAACACTTAGCGGAAACGGACTGATTCAACGATATCAACTATATCATGCTGTTGTTAATTTGATGTTCTACTTCTGAACCAACGAGGTTTGTAGGTGGAACATGTTGGGAGACGATATCATGCAGTCACGTCACCCGCCGAAAAATACGGGGTGACTGAGCCAAACCCATCCCCTTTGACACGTCCCATCACCCGCAGCGAACAGGACTGTTCTGTTTTCCTCCACAAATGGGAAATTCTCCTAATCCCATGAGGAGCTCAACAGTTGTCCAGGGATGTTGCATTCGTACTTTTTCAGAAGGGATTCGCCAAAAATGCCATGAATACATCGATTTAATAAAAAAGTAATAACAATAGCCCAGTAAAAATCATGTTTATTGGTTTGAAATCACAGAAAAAAGGATGAACACAAATATACATTAGAGTGTGCAAACGAGTTTCAATAGAATTCTCCACAAATTGCTCTGTTTACCCATCTATCATGAAGCTACCGCACAAACTTCTATCTCATAAATGGATATTACAAGTTCTTGTAACAAGTTAAGATTTCTTCTACACTCAAAGGAGATGCCGCATACATGAGGAAGAGAGGAGCACTCCCTGCTCAAATGTCTGAGCGTTCGAGCGGGAGTGAGTTACACCTACCTGGGGACGAATCTTGTGTGTACAGGAGAAGTGCAAGAAAAGTGGAATGAGCACAAAGGCAATGTGCACGATTACTGGAGGCTGGCGATTGTTGCCAGCCTTATTGGTGCTGCTGCTACTACACGTATGGCCACGCCTCACTTATCCTTTCCGCCAGTGACGCTGGTAACAACCGCCCACCCTTAGCCATTGTGCCCAGTGCTTTTGACAGTGAGATAGCGCGCTACACAGCACAAGACCAGGCCCATCACACGGCAGAAATATCCCCGTCCATAAATCCTCTCCAATTTCTAGTAGCTAAAGTTGCGTTGTTGCAAGCGCCACGCTCTGGCGACGCGCACAAATTATATAGGCGGATGAAGTCGAACAACGTTGGTGCACTACCACACTACCGCGTAAGTGACGCTGCTTATCAAGCGGACTCGCCGCAAGGTGGATCTCTCAACCAGCACCCTCTGAGACGCTATCTGGGAAATTTAGAGCAGTTCCGACACAACGTACTAAGAAATAAAGGTGGACCAATGATAGATTTTGACTAAAACAACCTCTTCGAGTCTATGGAATGTGACATGAATACTTGCATAAAATCTATAATTTAGTTGAAATGATATGCACTGTATTCGAGAGAAAGAGTAAAAGTGAGCATGTATATGAGCCCCAAAAAGCTGTGACCGCTTTGGCGAGTATAAAAGTCCTAGGAGCAAAAAAAGTGAATATCGATTTTAAGGGAGAGCGTGAGCGTGGTGAGCGCATTCCGCAAGTCGCAACGGCGAGAAGCTGTGCGTGATGGCAATGAACTCCAAATGGGATGGATATACGAGATTCTCTCTATGCGTGATATAAATTCAACAGACCTATCGCTTGCATGCGCGGACGCCCATCACCACAAATGGAAATACCCTTTCCACAAGCGAAGCCAGAGAACGGCAAAAGAACAAAAATTTGACCAGCCAAGTCGGAATGAGTTCCGCGACAATATGCCGAGAAAGATGAGTCTATATCCATGCAGTGCGAGGACTTTGTATGCAGGTCGTTCGGACAATGAGAGAGTAATCTTTCGCACCAGGTACTTGAAACTGCTTCTTCGCCTCAAGAGTTAAGCGGGAGCATCTGTGCTCGCGCTTAGTGGTTCCTTTTGCTAGTTCATGTTTACCAGCGCCTTACACTTTGATTAGACCTGCCAGCCCTAGCGAAGCAGTGCACAGGTGAGCCGCTTTGGTTACAGGATTTAGAAGCCTACATAAGGTGTACAAGCTTCAATCACCATTAATCCACGCACCTCGCGCAGTGCGCGACCAATTCTTTCTTTCTTATCTTTTTTTTTTTTTTATTATTTTTCTGTCTAAACGAGAAATATTGGAACTGAGCCGCAGTTTGTCGACGCGGGGGCATCCTGAACTTTCCATAGATGTAGCCAAACCCATCTATGTTCCTTTTCTCGAGTTGGATGGCTAGCTAGACGATCTTGCTCCGCTTCACAAGTGCCTCACAATGTATGCACCAGAGCGAGATTTGTAACCGGAACGATAGTACAAATCTCCCCCCCCCCCCGTCGACAAACAGCGCCGAACTGCAGAGCAAAAATGCTCGAAGGGTGCGTTCACGGCAGAAGTTGCCGACGTGTGAAGTTCTTGGTACAGGATATCCTGGAATCGATTTCCAAATTTTCGACTTCGGTCTCCCCACCCGTACGCAGGTGTGGTTTACTGCAGGTGTGTTCGCTCATCTCACTAACCAATCCCTGCTCACCTTTAGCAAGTTTGCTGATCCTTGGAATGCCCTTGAGTCGATTTACCAGTTTTAAACTGCAGCCCCTCCTATGACAAAGAGCACACGCCACCCACAGAAGGTGTGCCCCTTCATTCCGGAATACGGACAAGACAATCGTAGTTTGTCGCGTCCGTCGTGTGCGACAAACTACTGTCACTTCCAATTAGCGACGCACTTCCGTTGGTATCAGTACATGGTAGGATTATCTTGTCGCATACTTCCTCATCCCAACCTCGGCCCTTTGCAAATCTCAGTCCACTAGCTCCATTCCCTGACGGTTCTGGTTCCAACTTACAAAATTCAAATCAACGCCTAGCAAGGCCTGCAGATGATGTGTTATCGACAATTGTCACCTATGGGTATTGATCAAATTAGCATAATGGAAAACCGAAAAGAATCTCGAAGCCTCAAATCGCTATCAGCCCCTCCCTGTTTGGGTGGAACGGAGAGTCGAAGCCAAAGAAAATTTCTTTGGAACGTTATGAGGTGATGCATCGTTTCGACGCATGACACATCAAATTTCGCCCCCAGAATCACGCCAGAAACGTGAAAAATGGAGAAGAAATGTCACTACGACGTGCTACGTCCTGTACAAAGCGTCCTCTATGGAAGGAAATGAAATCTGAATAGAACGTTGCCAAGAAGGAAGGTCCGGAAAGGTTGCGTTCTTTCGAATAAACCTTGCTGATCACGATAACTCGTTTAGATTACTCCATTAAAGGAAAAAACAATACTTATTTATATATTATCTATTATACCTGGTACCTAACCCAAGAGAAAATCCGCAAAAAATGAACGATATGGTCCTTTCCGTGCGTAGGAGAGGGGTTTCTCGATAATCTGTGGGCGTTCACAGGTGGCAGGAGCTCTTGGGTTAGGGCATTCATTGTCTAGCGTGAAAACTGCTTTTGAATGCTTGATGGTAGCGGTCACAATATATTACAGCAAGGCCTCATGTAGTCGTCCTTAACGATGACACCAATCGCCACCAAGAATGCCTCATCGAACACTTGCTTGAGTCCTCGATGTGTGAGTGCTGAGCACGGAAGGAATTTGATGCATCCCATCTGAAAAATAAATTTGAATTTCAAGATATAATGTACTAAGTTTTAAGTTAATAGAACACGATTGAGACAGCGCATATCTAAGGGAAACAGGAGGTGTGGCTGCTGCTGACAGCGGGGAGGGTCCACATGCTTTAGTGAGACACAGAACTACACTTCGCAATGATACAGGGAGAGAGTCGGAATGGGGAATGCGCAGCCAAGCCTCTTGGTCCTTGTTGATTGCTCGATTATTCCTTCTCTGATTATAAATTGCTAAATTTATAATCAGAGAAGGAAATAGTATGCGTGACGCAATCTTACAAAGGATCGACTAAGGGGGACAAAGGAACAACTAAGGTTCCATCCTGTATCCTGTACAGCAATGCACTTGTCTGTGATCACGTAACTGAACTGCTGATTTTGGCTTCAGCTGGGTGCGAGTCTGGAGATCCGAGTTAGGCAGCGTTCAGACTTCGCGACGGCAGCGCTTCGGTCGCGCGTTCGACGCGATCGATGCAGTCGAAAGCATGCGCATCGATCGCGCGACCGAAGCGCTGCCGTCGCGAAGTCTGAACGCTGCCTTATGGCATGCAGCGATGGCGGCGCTGCAACTGACATCAAGTGCTCGGCATTCGTGCCAGGTCCTGGTCTGAAGTAAAAGTGCTGCAGTAAGTCGAGCTAATTAACTGAGAAACGCCAGGTATGAGCTGCTTTATGCGTGTCGCGACAACTGGGACCTCCTAATTCGCTCCTCACTGGAAACCTGCTTTTGAAACGAGTTTTAGGGCTAACCGATGAAGCAGATTAGAGAACCTTAATGTTTTTCCCGCATAGTTGTAAATCTTCAAATCCTAGATCCATTACTGCTGTACATGTTGATTGTGGTGAAATTAGGATTAAAATATTTCTCTGGGGTGAATTAGAGATATTTTAACCAGCGAGTAACTCGACCTCCCGATTATAAAACTTATGGGAGCAAACATCCTCAAATCATCACACAAGTTAAAATTTGTCTTAAGGGATAGTTTCGCCCTCTGAATACGGAGATCCTATCCGAAAATGTCTGGCATACCATGAGTGCAAAATACCGAGTGAAAAATTTGGCCCCAGTCTACCCCAGGGAGAAGGTTCGGTTAAAATATGGCCTACTTATTGAGTCTTGAAGTAGTTAAGGTCTCATATGTCTTAACGATGTTTCAGTTTGATAACCGCTGTTTAAGGCCGCAGTGCGCGATCAGAACCCAAAAGCCTAATAGATCCAATGATTGAAGCGTAAAACGTTTTCATCGCTGAAATTGTTTCGGATTTCCTCATTGAAATTAGTCCCCTTCCTGTCTCTCCCATACGCACTGTCATGGCGTTCCCACCCTCGTCCAAGCAATTCTGGAACATCATAAGATAGCGGCGCAGTTGAAGCGACGCCGCCAGCAATCTGTTTGTTTAGTCCATATCGACCCACCTACGTGGTCAAGCGAGACCTGCGATAGTGTTTCCTAGCATTCGAAACATTCGGGTCTAGCGCGTGAGAAACTAGAATTGGAATATAGAAAAGATAAGTCAGCTGTGAGATAAGTTGCCTGCTTGGCCAGAGGTAAGTGGGCCAACAAGTAAAAAACAACGAAAGAGAAACTGGTTAGATACACTTAGTATCCCGAAGGTGGTGGGGCAGGGGGAAGGAATGACTGCGTTCTAAATGGCACTGGAAGCGTTCTTCCATAGGTCACTTCTATTCAGACGGCTTTCATATTCTGTTGTGTTGGGCAAAGGTGTGATTACAATTGTTGCAAAAGGCAATATTTCACCGGAAGCCTAGCAGCCACGTTGAATGTAGTGAGCTGCCACGCCCTCCCCATCTGAACGATATGGTATGTATGTGTCTTCAATTTGCCCTGATCCTACCCTGTCAGTAATCAGAGATTTTCCAGTGACAATTCAGCGCCACTTTCTCAGGGGAGACAAAAAAAGTCAAAGGTAGGTAGACGCGTTTTGGGAATTCGGAGCGAGTAACCTCGTTTCCACACCCTCTGGCAGCATTCGCGAGGATTGGAAGTACTCAATTACACCCCATCATCTTTGCTCACTTAAATCTGTTGAGATATACCTCATGGGCGGCTTTTCGTGCAGTATCGAACGTAACCCGTTTCTTTTCGTCTGACGAATCTAAGAGGTCTTCTTTCGTTCCTATCAGTAACACAGGCACATTATCACCGGCGTATTTTCGTATCTCCGGCAACCAGACCGTCTGACAGACGTCCTGAAATCATATGCTTATCAAACTGCCTCAAATAAGCTCGGATTTGTTGTCACTTTTACTTGAATCTGAACACAAAAGTATTTGAAATCTTGAAAAAAACTTTGAGAAGAATCTCCTTACAAGGGAAATGCAGACGAAGTCATATAGTAATGTGAAGAGAAGTTCTTGTGAAAAAGTGCTCTCATACAAGAAGAGAAACCGTGTTTCGCATTTGTTCAGCGGCTCCGGAATCCCCACACCCCACCCCTCTTCCTCTTAGGTCTCAGTAAAAGT